GGTCTGGTTGTATCCCTGGACATTTCTAAGGTGCAACACATATTTGACTCAAGAAATGGTAAATTTTGGGTAGAAGAACATATACAAATGAAGTGTGAGGGAGTATTTTCATTTCTCTGCCACATTCCTGTTTCATGGTGTAGTAACATTTCCTTACTGGGCTAACTTCCATACTACTTACAAGGATGAGGTTACACAGAGAGACTGATAAAACACTGGTTATCCCTCAAAATATTGAATTCTGTCCTCTCTTTGGAACGTTCCTTTCCACACATTTGAATATGCTTTTCTCACAGAAAATAATAATTGAAGGAGTTGATTATTAGCATCACCAATCCATGTGCAGGGCAGTGATGGACTGGGAAGCCAAATTTTCCACGATTCAAAAGAGAATTTCCAGACATGCTAAAATGCTCTGTCTTGTCAAGAAAAATGTTTATATGGTTAGTATCAAATGTAAGTCAATATAAAATTTTCCTTGGGAAAGCCTGCCAGGAGACAAGACTTGGCAAGGTATTAAGGAAACTGCTCAGCATACACTAAGTTTAGGATAGTCAGATGTACTTCTGGGCTATGTGCTTCTTTGTTTTGCTGGAGACAAGGAATGGAGATTCGAGAACAGCCTCAGGTTGAACCTCTTCAAAAGCTCAGGATCTGGATGTTGTGGAACAAGTAATTTTCTGTGACTTCCATGAACAAAAGCTGTATGTCCTGGTAACCCACTAGGATGCTTTTAGCCTGCAAATGAAATCATCTTGACACAATTCAGGTTTTCTGATGTATGTCAAGTTAGTGTAAGGCGTTTGCAAGCCCTGACCATGTTTGAGATAAAATGCCTCCTAGTGGCTGACATGACATGAAGCTGGTGCTTCAGACGTGACAGATGATTCAGATTCCAGCAATGTATATTCAGTTCCAGCATTTGAAGGCACCTTTACATCCTGCATATTAAACTACGAAAAAGTGTAAGAACTTCGAATGCTGCTTTAGGAAAGAAATCCATCTTCTGCCCAGCCAGCACGATTTGTGCAAGCATTTGCTAGCCTTACGGTTTACATTCATACCATTTATCTTGAGTTTGTAGAGTCAATCGAGACAGCTACTTCCAGAAGACAGCATAAATTTTAGCTAGACAGACTGGAGGTATTTGGCAGTTTCCGCCGACTACAAAGGAAACACGTGCCCAGCCCCACTCACATCGGTGCCAAAAGGGAGGGAAGATGACTTTGGGCCTCTCTCAGCTGCATCCGAGATGGGTAAAGGACATCTCAGTCACCTGGAGTGTGACACTTCTCATATGTACACCCCATAGTCCTTGAGGAACTTCACTGAGATCATCAGGAAAACTCTACTGCTCTAAAAGCAGTGTGAGAGCAGAGCCAGAAACCCTGGATTATTATTCCAAATAATTTTTTTCTCTAATGTAATTTAGTGTTTTCCTTATAATGCAAGTATTATCTTGGATGTTTGGTCAGGAAGCTCGTTTCTGAGGTAATGACTGAATCCTAAAATATCTCTGAGAAGACTTACTGACCTTTCATATTACTTTCACTTGCAAATTACAGTTTTAAAATGAAATATAACCATTGTAAGTAGGTTTTAGGAGGCAGCATGCAAAGAACTCTTTATGCTGAGCACCCACTTCTGATCCCCCAGAAAAGAAGGATGATATTTTAGGAAAACTTGTAAACAGCTTGGTTTAGCCATTTTGCTTTCTTCTTTTATTAATTGGAAAGGATTAGATAGGTAATGAAGTAGATGGGTACTGCACAGATGCAGTATATTTGTGAGACTGACAGACTGACATTTTTAGCACTTACCTATATGCAACATTGCACATATGCATTCTTTGTTGATAAATTAGCTACTTTAAGGGTAATGCTAATGACAGTCAGAACTATCTTTCCTCAAAGGTTTTGGTCATACAGAAAAGTCCCCCTCCAGAGTTTTGAAGGTAAAACCAGATGATGCATGTCTGTGTGCCAGTAGATAATTGCACCATCGTAAGTAACCTGGACTATGTGAAGGTATGAAAGATCAGGGATCTACTGCTCTTCTTCCATTTTTCCTGTTTTTTACCAAGCACACGGCAGGCAAGGTTATGCTTAGGAAAATTGAAACATTCCTTTCTGGTCTGGAAAAATCATGCTAAATGAAAGCCTGGGGAATCCACCCCCGCTAAACATTATATATATATATATGTTCTTGGAAATGTGACAAATTTCATAAACACATTTTAGATCACACATCCCTGGAAGACATTAGCCTTAGGAAAATGAGACCATTATATATCTCTCTCATTATTTTCCAGATTTGTTTTTGACTTGAGACCAAACCTACATAGACTGATTTTTTGAAAGAGGAGGTGTAGTTGGAAACATCCACTGCTTTATTACAGGGGGAAGAGGCAGAGGTAGAAGGGCGTTGTCTCTGGCATGAATATTACTGTTCATGCCTCAGTCAGAGTCATTACATTTGCTCCCTTCTTAGTGCTGCAGATTACAAGCAGATCCTATTTCCTCTTCCAGCTCCTGCCAAGTTTTGAGGTTTGTAACAGGCAGCCAGGTGTCACTTGCAAAATCTTAGCTGATGCCAGCCTTACACAACAGCCGGGTGTTAGTTTTAATTAATGCTATTCAAGAGAAAGGAAGGAGTGAATTACTATCACTTTTTTGTTTCACAGTCTGGCTGATAAACCAGACTGACATGGATCTATTAGTCATTGTCCCAGTTATGTGCTAATGTTGTTCAAACCTTGTTGTAATCAGAAATGTGCAGAAAATGGGACATACCTGGCTTCATAATTGGGAAAGTATGCTGTAGGTCAGTAGCGGAAATGATGCAGGCTGTCATTTAGCATTTTGGATTAAAAGCAATGTCTTCAGAGTTGAAAGGTTCAGCCTACCAGTAGGGGGAAACAATAACAAAGCATGCTTTCCCAGGCTAGCGGGCACCATGAAAACTATATTGCTCTTCATGTTTTTATGGTAGGTTAGTAATCTGGAGAAGAGCACAAGCCACAGCTGCTCGAACAGTTGCAAGTTTTAATTTGTTGGTTTGAAATAATAATTCGACAAAACCCACAGAGGTGCAAATTAGTGCAATGGTCATGTCCATTAATACTCCAGATTATGCTGTCCTTTAGTCATGCTTGTTTAAGAAACTAGGCAAAAGATCTCAGCTAAGAAAAGGAAAACTGTTGGCAATGGCAAAGATATGTTGTTAACAAAATGGGTTTTTTTGGTCTTGAAGTAACTGGATTAAATTCCCACATCATTGCAGAAATTCGATGTGCTGCAGCAAAATTCAATTTATTATTG